GAACAACTTTAAAGGTCTGATTTTCAATATTTCTAACTCATGAGCATTTAGCTTCCTTAACTTTACATTTTAATTTAGTGTATTTAGTGCTCACTCATAACAGTAATTGAGTAGCAGGACTGTAAAAATGATGACGTTTTAGTCAAATAATGAGGTTATGCCCATTGGTATGTTGGTAAATGTTAAACAACTGGATCTCTTAAAAACATGTATTTGTACTATGTGTCATTATCTATGTTGTAAATATCCCTACCATGGTGGATTTCAAGCTACCGACTGAAGTCTCTGAACTGGGAGTTGGAAAGAGATATGCAAATTTACATTTTCTAAACTAAAGAAGCAAAGATTCTGATCTTAAGCATGATCATCTAGGACTAGAAAAAGCATATGGAAGAGAATATGGACAGTAAAAAATGTGGGACATGTATTAGTAGAAATTAAATCCCTGTGGCCAAGAATGACAGTTCGATTCAGATATAAAACTTTGAAATCCAGATGAAAGCCAAGAGCTGACTCCAAAAAACAAGGTACGACAACAAAATATCTACCAAAATGAGGATATGAAGCATAGACGGGAGAAGTTAATACAACTTTGGAGAATAGAAACACAAAAGCAATAAATGTTAATAGTAGAGGAAAAGGCCAAGGCCAGAACGATAGTCTTCTAGGCTAATCTTATTACATTTCCTGGAAATTAATGACAATGCCTTTTTATGTCCTTGGAAATAAATGAATATAGGATGTCTCTATTTGTCTGTCTCCCTTCCTATGACATATTCAAGATGACTATCTCATTCCTACCTGAGATGACTGAGTTTTGCACTAATGTGGTCAATGATAGCTTTTTTTCTCCTGTTTCATTCATACATGTGTTCATTACCAAGCAGGCACTGAGGTTCTCAGACATTCGTTACATTCTTAATTTTGCTTTTTACTTTTAGAGCTCAGTTTTAATATCACGAAAATGCATGCTTGTTTTTGTAATATATTCCAAGAAGAAAATAGATTTTTACATATGCATCTTTACTAAAGCATGTAATGTGTAAATCATCAGACCCCTTTTTTCTTTATGAGGTCAGCACTTAAGCCACTTCACAGTTATTGATCTGCAGAAGCTATATACTACAACATTTCTAAAAGTTTAAGAGTGACATCATCCGGGAGAACTATGTTGGCACTTTTTACAGATTAAGATCTCATATTTAATACTGCAGTGAAGCAGCCTTTTGAAAGGAAGTCTTTGGAATCAGGAATATCCCTGTTCTTATTCTTGTTCCTATTCTTCTATCAACCAAGAAGGTAACTCTCCTACCAGTGTGAAATGGTCTGGCCAGGAGTTCAAAATACTACTGTCCTGTGAGAGTGTGGAGAAAAATTGGTCCTGTTCCAGAAGCCATTGTCTCTTTGTATGTATGACAAAGGGTCTGCCTGCTGTTCTTCCCCACTAATGCCTTTACCCATGCTAGAGGTTGAGATGAACTCTGGAAATCTCAAGGCAAGCCATAACCTTGAGGAAAAGGTGAAAAAGGTCTGCCTTGAAAGTACTGTTAGAGAAAACAGTGATCTCTGTATCTGGGCTGGTTGAAAAGGGTAGGGGTGTCACAGTCTTTTGCCTGCTGTGATTCCTTCAACAGCCTCCGTGGTTTGCAGAATGTGTTGATTTGTGTGGCTTTATTCATGAGATTTCAAGATGGCATAAGCTTCAGATTCAAAAAGAGCACCGATTCCTGAGTGCTCTGCTCAGACAGGCCTGTCAGCTGTTGAAGTCTGTTTCCCAGTCACCCATGTCTGCACTGCATTGTTAGAGTCCCAGCTTCAGTGGGCCTTTGAAGCCTTCCTTCAACCTTTGAACAACAGCTTCTGGAGTAGCCTTCTGTCTCGGTGTGCCACATATGTCTAACCCAGCAGAGTTGCGATGAAGTGAGTTGAAATGTTGCTGGAATGACTGTGTGCCAGATGACACTGATGAACTTGCTCTAGAAGTCAAATGTCACATCTGGAAGGCATAGTGCTTACAGCTGGGCTATAAACCAAACAGCAGCAGCACAGGTTCATTGCATGTGTATTTACTGAATGCCTGCTATAAGACGGGGACTGCAGCTCGAGTTTGTTATTTGACTGCCACTCTGCTTTCTAGGCTGTTAGTCTTCTTGATTTGGTCACCTATTTGTCAACTAGAGCACCACTGGTAAGAATTCCAGGCAGTTTTCAGTCCCAGGTTTGCTGACAGGATTGACATCAACACAGAATTCCCCAGCTGCTCTAAGCATATAGACAGTGCTCCAATTGAAAATACTATACTTTCATAGTATGGAGTGGGAGACCTGAGTTCTAGTCCTGGCTCTGCCATTGTGTTACTTTGGGCCTGGTCTTATCTTGGCCTCAATTTCCTCATCTGTTAAATGGGCAGAGTGGTTTGCATGATGTGTAGAGCCCTTGCAGCTCTGACATTCTTAGATTGGACTATAAGCACTCAGAAGTTGTAAAATTTATAATTAAGCGATTTTGTGAACTGGTCTGTCATGGTTCAGGAGAATCAGGAAGAAAACCCTTTCTTTTTCCCTTGGCAGAGAAAATTGGATTGTATTTAGTTCATGTCACCATGAAGCAACTAATATTCAAAAGAACCAGAAACAGTTATACTTAAACAAGTTAAAATGACTGCACTGCATTAACACACTTTTCTTCACTCAGCAAGAGTTCTATTTTAATCTGTCACTTTCAATATTGGAGCAGCATGTTTCAACCCATTTAGGTTAAGTTGCTACAGCGATTTTGAAAGCACTAATGACTCTTATATGGCAATTGCAAAAGTCCTAGGTAGAATCTAGTGAGAGCCTGGCTCTGAAGCCGCTGGCTGTTAGGTGGGCTTAAAGGACCTACATGTTTAATAGTAGCAACATGCTGCAGGTGGTTCAGGATCAATTCAGTCATTTTCCAGCTCATGGGAAAAGGATGACTGTGGCTTGGAGATCCGTGGGCCCAGGAGCTCCTCCTTCTGCCACAGGGAAGACCAATCATAGAAGGTGTAAGGCCATGGCCCCACTGGCAGCCTTTGTCGTGGTGGTCTCCATGGCAACAGGGCCACTGTGGCTCGTTTTTACCAATTGCGGAGCACTGTGACTACAGACCTTAAGGCCTTCAAATTTGATCATGTTTCCATGCATGAATTAGTATCCTCCTTAAACCTAAGGCAAACAATTACAGTGTCTTTTCTTCCTCTTCCTCCAGCCAACAATAGCAGAACTGATTCCTTTCATTTGCTCAATCTCAATCCCATTCATTTGTATTTCAGTATGGCCTCCTTTCATGACACTCAATACAAGACTCATTCCTACTCTGGAAAAAACGTGCATTCCAATTCAGCTAACATTCATTGAGCATCTTCTGTGTAGTAATGTAGTACTGACAAAGTAATGTAGTAATGCCAAAGCAATTTATATACATTATTTTAGTTAATTCTTAAATATATATAAATATGGATTCAAATTTAATTAACGCTGTTGGTGTTTGGCACACAGTAATCCCCCCTTGACTAGTTTTCTAATAAAGGAATGAAATCATGGACTAAGTCAACAAGGGCCTTTGGAGCATCCTGTCAAACTCCCCTGTTAGACAAATAGGGAAATCAAAGCCCAGAGTGTAGTGTGACTTATGTAAGACCATATTAATAGCTATTTAAACTCAGTTCTGTCCGAGGTGAATCCACATTGCCTCACATGAAAATTGAGTGATAACAGAGCATCAAATTTCTGATGTGTTGTATTGCATTTGGACACATAATTCTGATTGTTCTGCTGAATGTAGTGTTGGGGATCCTTCTTTGTGAATGATTCAAGAAGAAACACTTTTTGGGAAATTGAAAAATAAATTTATTGATACTTACATTTAAAAGTAAAAATGTATTAACTAGAGTGACTTGAAAGAAATCAGCAGTAGTGAGACTGGGCTGGGGGTGAGGGTAGGACAAGGGAAAGCAGCAGCTCAGTGGGGTCAAAGTGCTCCCAAAGATGATTTTGTCAGTAGTTCCGCACATAATCAAATACAGAGTGACCAGTTCACATCAACCAAATTCACCGAAAGCTGAGGTATGAACCAGAACACCAGTTTATTAATTCATAAAGGGAAATATTCTAACGGATTTAAGTACATGTATTGGCTGGTCAGCAACCCTCTAGAAAATTCAATGTAGAAGGTCTAATTATAATAAAAAAGTTGCTTGGTGAGTTTGAAACCAGAAAAGGGAGAGTTAGTTGGCTCATTGGAATGACTCATGTCTGTGAGCCTGGTGCACCCTTGTCCACTGTAGGGTACACTAGGTAAGGAGACATGATGCTCATGTTCTCTGGTCTGGGCAACTCTTTCCTTAGCCCTGGTCACTGGAGATACACAGATAAGTTCTTTCTTGCAGATTCTACTACTTCTAGATTGAAAACTGTTCTTTCTGTTAACTTTTTTTTTTTTCAGATGGGACGATACACCCGGGTTGATGTCAGCTTTCCTAGTTATGTGATATGTCAGTTTGCCTCATGGAACCATCTCTAGTCAGACCTCCATAACAACATGATTACAGGCTCTTGGGGAACTATTCTGATAGGTCATTCCTCTCATTATATATTTTAATAACGTGATGCTCTGAGAGGAACTTCTCCTCCAAGGTCTTCAGGCCTTGACTTCATTCCCAAGCTCTAAAAAGCACGTCCAAGACCAAACTGAAAGCTAGTCTGGGTTTGTCAGACATATATAATTATGTACACCAGTAAAGTGGTATAATGCTCCCCTTCCCTCCTTTTAAGCCTGAGTTCAAAAAACAGGAGAGAGGGAGAGAGAAAGAGAAAAACTGTTTTGGAGATTAGAAGTTGAAAGAGATAAAGGATGCAGGAATAGGGATACAGAAAAAGTAGTGATGGGCTTTAACTTGTCAGCTGCTCCCATGTTCTTCCTTCATACATGTGGTGCTGGCCTTGTGATGTACTAGACCAAATACCCTTGATACAGATCTAATAACGTTTGATGTTTTGGTGGGAGAGGTAAGAAATATCTGGAATATGGAACGCTGCTGAGGAGGGAGAATCAGGGAGTTACCTCAGTGGAGAAGAAGAAAGCTTGATGGCCAATATCAGGAAGTTAACTTCACAGTTTTGTCAAGGGCTGGACCTGTAGGAATGGTCACAAATTCCTACCACAGTATATTTCTCTAGTGATTACGTTTTCTAGTCTACTTACTCTAGTAAAATATGAATCGTAAATAGACTTCTCCCCATAAAGAGAAAAAAAAACTGTCTTTGTAGAATGTATATATTCAAATCTAAAGATATAGGAAAGTGATTAGTTAATAAAGGGCCTTGTTCATTTTCAATCTCAAATATGTCAATCTTGCAAATGCATTTTTTCTTTAAGTGAGCTTTGTTTTTTCCTTAATCCAGTTGACATACTTGGATACCTTGGTATATATTCCATACTTTCCTTTCACTGCACACTCTTCACCCCAGCTAATAATTCCAGTTAAGAAACTGATGCCTTCCACTTCAGTAACATGGGGCCCCCCACTATCTCCTTGGCATGAATCTTTACCTCCCTCATGGAAGCCGGCGCAGAACATATTATTATAGATGGTGAACTTTGTGGAGCGGAGGCATGTGGCTCGGTCAACAAGTGGAACTTGAAGATACTGAAGAATTGAAGCTGATCTCCCTCTGTTGAAGACTCTTCCCCAGCCACTCACGTAGCCAGACCCAAATTTGAGGAAGATGTTCGTGTATTCCTTGTCAGCAATGCAAATAGGTGTTACGTAGCTGTTTAGCGTTAAGGGTTCATCGAGTTCCAGAAGAGCAATGTCATGGCTGTACTTATTAATAGTTGCGTTGTAGCTGTGGTGAGGAATAGCACGAATCACATTTCGCTTTTGCTCTGTGTGGTCCTCCTTCTCAGTGTTATGTTCACCTATTGAAAATAAATTTCTTTTTCAGTCACTGTCTTTCCCCAAAAGAAACACATTTTCCAAGTGTCTACCTAGCATCAGTTACTTAACTGGCATTACTTAAACAGCATTTCACCCATTGAAAAGAAATTTATTTTCAGTCACAAATAGTCTTTCACATGCAGAGATTTTCAAAGTGTTCACTCGGCATCACTGAATGAACTGGCAGCCAGGTGTCAAAGATCTCAATCTTAACTTGATATGATTTGGGGGAAATGGAATGAGGGCCAGTACATACTTTATAGACCAAAAAGTGATTCAGGATCCAGCATAGAGATGGTTCCATTCACCCTTGCTGTTAGAAGTCTTACACTGTTCACAGGTGATGATGAATCTGCTTGTCATGAATTATCCTAGACTTTTCCAATTTCAGGTATTTGGACCCCTTTGAGGGGGCACAGATTCATTTGGTCTTTCATTCAAATGTTAGCTGAGGGCCCTCTCCAGGTTGTGCCAGGCAGCAGTGATACAAAGATCAGTGATATGACAGAGCTTTTGGGAAGGATCAGTCGGGTGCGGAAATGAAGATAGTAATAAATAATTGTTCTCCACTGATGTGAGTGTCAATACCAGAAGTACACCAAAAGAACTCTGGGGGGTTTGGAGACTGGAACAAGTTGGGTTTTGAAAATAGGGCCCCTCTACTACTAGCCCAATTTATTTAGCAATGATCTTATCAGACCTTAGTAAAATATGATATATCAGTCATATAGAAGACCTAGTGATGCTGCAGACGACTATACTTTTTTGTTTATTTACCTGCAACAACAGTAATAGGGACACCAGGTTCGATACAGTGGGCTGCAGTTACGACCCATTTTTCATTAATGATGCAACCTCCACAGAATGCATCAATTTTACCATTCAAAAGGACCTGTAGGGA